ATTGTTAAGTGAATCACTGAAGTTGTTAAATTAGTGACACAATTGTTAAGTGAATCTGGCTTCCCCTTTGACTTTGCTTGTCAGAAGATCACATGACCCTGAGACACAGCAACCGTCATAAACATGAACCATTTGCAAAGCATCTAAATTTTCACCACACGACCATGGGGATGCTGCAAAAGATCGTAAGTCACTTGTTTCAGTGCTGTTTGTAAGGGCCACTAAATGAACGGTTGTAAGTTGAGGACTACCTGTACTCAGGTTGGAAACCATCAGGAGTTACCAGAATCTGAGGCAGTGTGGAAAAGTGGGAAAGCAATTGCAAACCACCTTGATAGTACTGCCCATAAAACAAAACAAAAAACCCTGAACGTGCCATTAAGTCATGAAGAGACAAGCTCAACTAAGAGATGATTTACTTTAGCCAGCAATACAAAAACTTGCTTTGAAAAGTGTTTTGACATGCATAAAGGAAGAGATAACAAGACCCCAAAGGTATAGCTGAAGCAAAACCTACATATATAGTTTAAAAAATCCCTGTGAAATATAGCTAAATTTAATAATTTAACCTGACAGATCTTTTCTTTTTTTCACTCTGAGATAGACCCAGCTCAGCTTCTTTGTTTCTCACTCTTTTTCACAGGCAATACAAATTTTAGAGCAGCTAGCATCTTCTCCTGGCTGATTAGAAATTCTGTCATGATAAAAAGAAGAAAGCAGAGTGTGTTGCTGCTGCTTCTACTTTCTCGCTTCAAACACAGCTTAAATTAGTCAGAAACAAAGCAACATTCTGCAGGCTTTGTTAATTTGAAAGGATACAACCAGAATTGCTTGGGAAAAGATACATCACCATTCATTTTCAGATCCAAATATGAAAAATAAAAGGTCAGGCGATGCAGGTCAGCGAAATTGGGGAGGCACTAGCAGGATTCCTTCCCCCCCCCCCCATTTAGGTTGCTCAACCTTTTTGATTACCAAAAATGAGAGCTTTGACATTTCAGTCATAAGTAGTGTTGGAAAAACACAAATTACTTTGACTGCTGGATGCCTTCACGGTTATTCAACATTCTAATATTCTTCCACAAAGCATAGATTGTCAAAGGAAAGTGGTGCCAGGAAAATCTCTATCAATTCCACCAGCTCAGATTTTATTTAAAAAAAAACCAGGCATCCATCCCCCCACCATGTGGATCTGTTCCTTTATGACATTGCCTTGTAGGAAAGAAAGAAAGAGAAAAAAAACAGAAAAGCATCTATAGTTTCCACAATGCTGCACATTGTAGTAAGCCCTGGTTCAATCCAAACCTGGACCAATTACATGGTGGCTTAGGATAACGCAAAAACCTTGTCACTTATTCCATCACTCCTGTTCAATAATTTCTAATACCTCATTTCAAAAGTTCTTTGAAATGCCAAGGGAATTTCTTAAATGGGTCAGTTTCCATCATGTATTCAAAGCAATTAATGCTTGTAACTAGATCCAACAACCAGCTGCTTTGTGCATAGAATTCGGAACATAGTTTTGGGTAAGACTAAAGTTATCTCATCTGGAACAAGAAGAACCCCATGCTACACAGAGAACAAGGGCAGATGCCTACTCCAACAGGAAAAATGTAACTGAGTCTGATGAACTCTAGTAATAAATAAACCATCACTAGATCAGTGGTTAAGCTACAAGCTGCAGTGGTTAAGCTACAACCAATCAGTAGTTAAGCTACAAGTGGTTCCTGCATGGTGCGAAACCCTATTGGTTTTAAAACCAGAGGACAAAACCATGGTTTTAAAACCAATAAGGGTTTGCGGTTCACCGACAAATGTGTGCCCGACAAATGCGCGTCAACAAAACCACCGCGACAAAACCGTGATGTCAAAAGCGCACCCACTAAAGCGCGTTGACAAATGCGCGCCGATAAAAGCGCGCCATCGAAAACAACGCGAAAACAATGGTAACAACATTAACAACCCTAACCCTAACCTAAAAACCCTAATCGCGCTTTTGTGGGCGCTGTTTTGTCGGCGCGCTTTAGTGGGCGCGCTTTCGACATCGCCGTTTTGTCGCGGCGGTTTTGTCAGCACGCATTTGTCGTGCGTGCATTTGTCAGGTCACGAGGGTTTGCATCATCACGCTGTAGCTTGCCACTGATTTAAAAGGGGGGGAACCATCTACTTGAAGCCTTTCTGGATTTTAATGACTTGCCATGTACTTACTTGTTACTAGTTATCCAGATTTCAGGCGTTTTCTTTCCCCCGCCTCCAGCTTTTCATGGACATCATGAAGACAAAACTAGGCCCTCTGGCATGAAAAGCCCCAACTTGATCTGTGCTTTTTCCTGCCTCTTTTAATGATTTTGGCAACAATGCCAGCATTTTTATTTTCATACAGCGTCTCTTATAGTTCTTCTCTGGCTGATATCCTAAACCTCTTATCATGTAATACCAAATGCTTTTAGCACTTTTCCCTGCCAGCTACCCAGGAGTATCTAGAGATGCCTTTCCGATGCATTTGCTGCATTTTTCAAGACAAACTGTCACGACCTGTTTTAGTAAACAGAAACCCTCTTTACAGATTTACTTTATATTTTACTTTTTACATTTTTACTCTTTATTTCTACTTTCTGGGTACAGAATTTGTAATCTATGAATACTTATTTATACCCATCCAACTGAGATTTATTCAATAAAGCCATGCATAGCTTTAAGCAACAGGTGAAGCTCTTGCTGAAGTTGCTTGACCCTAGAACAGGGATGTCAAACTTGCGGCCCACAGGCTGGATGCATCATAAGCTGGTCACGCCCACGTCCCATTTAGCAAAGGGGGGGGGAAGTGTCGTGATATGTCACGTGACGCCACTGTGACAATGCAAGTTTGACACCCCTGATCTAGAATATCTATAATGTGTAACTATTATAGTTTGTAAATCACTATTATGTCTTTTTGACTTAACATGTGGGGTTCTAGCCAACTCTGTCTTATTCAACAGGTGATGGTTAAACAAATCAAATCTAACAACCTTATGCATGTCATCATTCAAATTGTCCAAATACAGTTCAAAGGTCTATCCATTCTCAAGCATAGATATTAATAGAAGTTTCAGACCCAGTTCATAGCTCACAATAAGTCATAATTTGTTTGATCACAGACAACCCAATATCACAATTGGCTAGGTTCACACAATACACTGTCATAAGTCATGGATCCAAATCATAATGGCTGGGTTCATATAACATGCTAGGTCAAAATAATTAGTACAACTCATGAGTTCAGATCTATGAATCAGGTTTCTCACACATTTTTTAAAGACATAATCAGCACAAAGTAACCAATCATGCCTTAACCCATGCAGTTATTTAATAGCTCAGTGTTTGATTATGTTAACTGAGTAAACTGTAGCTCAACAAATGTGTCACAGAAACATTGCTGTCTCAAAGTTCAAAACCTATATAGATTACATACATCCTGGAAGTTCCGTAGGTTCTTGCCAAGGCATTTGGATTTTCCACATATTTAAAGAGCATGTTGAAAACACCAATTTATTTTGAGGTGGTGGATCCCCATAAAGGAAAAAGTTGTTTCCAAACAGAGACACATGAGCCATGCAGCAGCGATCCAAAAACAGTCTGATACAGACATGAATGAAAGACTTTGATAACAAATACATCATATATCACTTACATGTTTTATTATCACTGTTACATCATAATATATAATTTGATCCTCTAGAACAGGAACAGATAGGGGATCTGAGACATTGGGGTGAAAGTAGGCATAGGAAATACCTTTATCTCTCAATCCACCTCAAAGAGTGGCCACCTATTTTATCATCTCAACATCTTACAAAGTAGGTTGGGACTGAGAAAATGAGGGCACAAAAATCACCCAGAGAGTTTCATGATCAAGTGTGGATTTGAACTTCGGAGTTTCTCAATTCTAGTTCTTTGCAGTATACCACCCTGGCTCTTCTGCTTCATCAAATGCATGACATTACAGACATTAGCTCATTATTGCTTCCATTTAAAAATAATTTCCTCTGTTGCATAATTAATTGTTCCTCTCTCTTTTTTTTTTTTGCCTAATTTTACAATAAAACTGCAAAACCAAGAGTGGTGCAAGTACAAACCAGAAGTAAAGGCAATTTTTTCAGCTTCCTTCAAAACACTTTTTTTCCTTATTGGATATGCGCTCAAGAGTCAATGCCTCCCTACTCCAACAGTATTTGTGCTTTGACAAACTAGCATGCTAAAGATTTTAAAAAGGAACTATTGTAACCCTACTGAGAACAAAATCCCCAGCTCAAAGTTTTTGAGATACATCTGTCCTCTAAATACAGTGTTTCCCAACCTTGGCAACTTGAAGATGTCTGGACTTCAACTCCCAGAATTCCCCAGCCAGCGAATGCATGGAATTCTGGGAGTTGAGGTCCAGACATCTTCAAGTTGCCAAGGTTGGGAAACACTGCTCTAAAACTAAGTATACAGACTGACCTCAGAAGTCATTTTAAAAAACCTTTATCAATGCCAATTGTAATGTTGCTTGCACATTCTACACACATAAATGCCAATGGATAGTCTATAGTTTTCATACTGTATTACAAAGTTAAATTCACAAAAAGATATCAAGAATAATAGCAAATTAACTTCTTCAATATTTTAAAGAAAAGCTGAGATTCCTTAGAATACATACATGGATTTACGAAATACATAAAACCTTGTGCCAAATGCTATTAAGTTATGGCACTCAAAAGGGAAAACAATCCGTGGACTAAACATCACATCAATCATTTATCCAGCATTATCTATTGAAATTGTGGATCTAATGAGAAAAAAATAGTCTCTTATATACACCATGTTATATAGGAAGACACAGTTAGTTAAGATCCTTAAATGTTTCTGAAGCAAAAGACTCAGGGCAATTGAGATGTGGATGCTGTCAATATGCAGTTTCTCTTAATCATTCAAGAAATAACAAGGAAAGCCCCCAAACCTCAAACCTGGTGCATTTCCAGTGCACTACAAATATATTTCTACAAAGTGCAATCCTTTTGTGCACTTTTATTTCAAATCAGTGCTACCATGATCAATCACACTTGTTGGGGAGTAAAGGTGTATATAGAATAGGATCCCTTCCCCTGACCAGATTTGAAAACTTAATAACCAACAAGGGGTGTCAGGGTTTTCACCCCGGATTCAAAGAGGGAATGATTTTCCCCGACTGTTCCAGGTTTTCCCGACCGCTTTTCCTCTTCCACCCCTGCTTGCAAATGAGATGCAGATCTTCGCTGGGAACAAACCAGTAGTAGGAAGTGAATGGCCGCTTGGAAAGCAATAACTTTAAGCGGAGCCCGGATCTCACTGGATCGTAACACTTTTCAAACCCTCCAGGGGCTTCCCCGTCCGCTTTGAACCAAGCCTGTGCCGGAGAAAGCCAGGCACTTATTGCAGGTTCCCCGGTTCCTTTGCACATCCCTTCGTACGGGGACAGCGACTCTCTGGCGAAGCTCGCCCCTGGCCCCACTCCGCTTCAAACAATGGATCAGCTGCTGCAGAGACAGGGCGATTTTCCACATACCATTCCGAGCCCCTTTCCTTCTCCTCCCCCTCCCTTTGGGCTGACAAAATAAAAGCCCATCTGAAGATCGCGACGGGATGGGGACCCCACCGCTCCCCCTCGCCGCTGCCTGCCTGGCGCATGCTGGCAAAAGGAGGCTGGGGGGGTGGGGGGTGGAGAGAAGGGCCGACCCCGTTTTCCTCCTCCATTGGGCTGTCTGTGCTGCGCTGGACCGGGATGGGGAGGCAAAAAGCCCACTCACCAGCACGACGGCGAATCTTTCTTCCAGCTCGCCCGGTTCGGGCATGGGGAGCTTGAGGGGTAGATTGTGCGCCCTGAAGTCCGTCTGCTGAGAGTCCATGCTCCCCGCATTGCCCATGGCGACGGCCCTTCCTCGAGGAAGGGGAGCGGGGGAGATCGGTCCACCTCTCCGCTCGGGTTTCTCCTGCCGGATTTCAAGCTGCAAACCGTCGCCGCTCCTCCGCCAAGCTCCGCGCGCTGCAAGCCGAGTCGTTCCCTGGTACTCCTCCGGTACTCCTTCCCCGCCCAGTCAACCAGCGCTCTGCTCTACTCTCCTCTCGCTCCACGCGCCGATTCCCTCCAGCGCCCCACGCGCGCAAACCCCCCCCCCAATTTTTTTTTAAGAATTAGAGCCGCGGGGAGGCGAGGCGCACAGATCTCTGTCTCCCTCTAGGAACGGGCTTGGAAATGCCCGCCCTCCGCCGCCTCCTCCTCCTCCTCCTCCCCAGCACAATCGGACTCCCTTTCTTCCAGCGCTCGTGGGGGAAACCCGGGAGCTTAGAGGCAGCATGTTGCATGCTGTTCACTCCAAGCAGCCCGGGCTAGAAAAAGCATGGCTGGGGCGGAGCAGTCCTCCTTAGCAAGCCCGCCGGTGGCCTCTGGACGGTCGGCTGCAGCCAGAGCCGGGCTCGCCCGCCCCCCTCCACCCCGCGCAGCGCCTACCAAGCGCAAGCCGCAGAAGAGAACCAGCCACACTCTACAGACACCGCGCACCGCAGCACAAAGCCCCCTCTTCCTCAGACACCTCCTCCGCAGCTTCTCCACGCCCCTGCCCCGGGGAGAGCTGGGAAGCGTAGTCCTAGTCTTTTACACGGGACCGCGTCTGCCGACATACCTGCCTCTTACCTTCTCCCTCTCTCCGCATGAACGTATTGAAATGCTTTTGGGGTTTTTTGACTTCTTTTTAAATAGCGGACTCTCCACTTCTGCCATTTGCAAGCAGAAACATGATTTGCATTGCACTGGTGAGCTTTGAGATCTTCTAGACATGATCAGAATAGTGATCTTTTCCACAAAAGATTGAGGTGTCCTGTTTTGAGATGCTGGCTGAGGACAGCAGAGCTTTGTCCAAGGTTTGTGTCCCAAAAAGCAAATTTCTGGATTTACCCAGCAAACTAAGCCTTCAGTCCTAGTTTACAAAGAAACTATATTTTAGTTTAGCATACTGGGTGAACCAGTCATGGCATGTCAGAAAAGGACAGCCCATTTATTCTTTATATATCTGTTTGAATTCTGCCATCAGGTTACAAGATCATCAATTTATATTTAAACATCTATGGTACAAAATAATAANTTTATTCTTTATATATCTGTTTGAATTCTGCCATCAGGTTACAAGATCATCAATTTATATTTAAACATCTATGGTACAAAATAATAAAAATAAATGATTGTAACCCTAATGCCTGAAAAAAAGGTCCCCTTTGTAAGATTTTTGCTACATAGTTGTCAAAAAGCCTTCACTGGCCTTTGAAATCAAGAATAGCAGGTATACATTTGATTGCTTACCTCACTTTTCACTAATATTTCTCTTCCATCCCCACCCCAGGAAATATTTTTCATGGTATAATATCTCAGCTATTTTAAAAATATAAAATTCAAAGAGGAATTTATAGCCAGCACATGAGAGACTTCTTCTAAAAAAAAATAAGAATGTATTGGTTATTCTAGTTTCACAGAAATAAACCAGCTTGTCATCAAGTGGATATTTACCTGGAACCTGTACTAGATAATGGTGTAATGTTCTTAAAAGAAAACACTTCTTAAGAGTACAGCTTATTAAGCAATATGTGAAATGGCAGCTGTGAATAGGATTGAGATGAGCTTTCTTGCTGGAATTCACTGGAATAGCAGAATGGTTTCCATAAAAACATAGGAAACTGGTGGCAGAAAAAGACCCAGTGGTCCATCAAGTATGCCTTTTGAGGTTTTTTGTTTGTTTTTGTTTTCTTTTTAACTGATTATTTATTTATTTATTTATATTTTATTATTTCACTTAGAAATATTTGTGATCCCAATCAGTAAGTCTCTTTTCTCTTTTTGCCTGCACTGATCTGGTTACTTGGCCTTGTTTATCAAAGAGTAGGAAAGGTCATTCTTTGGAGTAAAATGAAGCCATCATTATATTTACCTAACGGGAGTTTAATGGCTGTTCCTTCCTTGTATACACATCCCTTTTGAGCTTGTGCCATTGACTCCATACAGAAAGGTGGACTTGAATTACACTGTCTACCATTTTACCAATTCTGATTGCCACTGAGGATGTTTGTAACATCTGCCACCAGATGAAAATCCTGACATGTTTTGGTTGCGCCTTCCCAATCGTTTCCCAATATATTGAAGATATATCACATTTTCTAATTATACACATAGTCCTAGAGTTACCACCATAATTGAGCCCTGCAATTATGGTTGTAAGTTATGATGGTTGTGGGTCACTTCGTGACCTGATCTGCTTTTACAACCTTTTTTGCTGAGATTAAGTGAACAATGTATTAGTTAAGCCAACCCATTGTTTACTTTGGACTTTTTTTTTGCTAAAAACCAGAAAAAAAACACCAGTTTGTGCAAAAAAAATGTAAATCATGGTCACATGACCGCAGGGGGCTAAATGTGAGCTGATTGCCAAGCAGCCAAAATGTGATCATATAAGCAGGGGGGGGGGCGATATTAGAACTTCAAAACTAGGTTGTAATTAGCTTTTAGAGAAAGGATGACTTATTTCAGAACTCTGAATGGTCAAGAAGCAACTAGTCATAAGGAGGACTACCTGTACAGCTTTTGAAACTACAGGAGTTGGAACTACAGCAAAATTGAAAGATGTGGTTTGAGAAAGGCTGTCCTGGTTCATGCTTTGGGTTCAGATTCTGAAATGGTCATTCTTTGTTTTTCTAAGTAGTCCAAGCAAAGCCTTTGAACCATTATAGGTAGTCCTCAGCTCACAGCAGTTCACTTAATGACTGTTCAAAATTACAACACTGAAAAAAGTGACTTATGACCTCTTTTCACAGTCACAACCTTCGCAGCATCCCCATGATCATGTGATCAAAATTCAGATGCTCGGCAACTGGTTCATATTTGTGACCGTTGTTGTGTCCCAAGATAATTTGCTTCTGACAAACAAAGTCAATGGGGAAGCCAGATTCACTTAACAACTGGGTTACTCATTTAACAACTGCAGCAATTCACTTAACAGCTGAGGCAAGAAAGGTCATAAAAATGGGGGCAAAACTCGCATAACAAATATCCTTCTTAACAACAGAAATTTGGGACTGAATTGTGGTCATAAGTCAAGGAGTACCTGTATTCATAACTGAAAACACCACACAGGCAAGAAAAACGAATGTTTCTTATTGTAAAGCAACACAATACTTTGTCTTGAATAGAATTTTGGAATAAAGTGGAAAGTAAGAACCAATGTTTCCTTATTTAAGGAAAAAGCATTTTTAATTTATCCGATAAATATCATGGTTCTTGCTAAGGACAAAACTGCAGAAGATGCTATAAAAACATAGTAACATTGCATCTCATTATTACATTTACTAGCCAGACAAGATTAAAATACTTCTAGTAGCTCTATTAATTAAATCAATATATCTGTTATTTATTAGATTTTTTCCATTTTTTAAAATCAATTCAAGGCAGCAATCATTCATAATGCCCACCCACCCACCCACCTTTATTTTCTCCACAATACAACCCTCGGATGTGGGATGGGCTGACAGAAAGCAATGGCCCCCAAATTGTCCAACATCTTTTTAACCCTATATCAAACTGGCTCTCTGATGCAGACAAGAGAGCTTCCTAGTTCTTACTGATGATCCCAGATCTCTTTTGTATAATAAGTGTGCCTTTACAGTGATTGGAAAAAAAGGAACTTCCAATGTTTGGTCTTCTGTCTGAACTCACATATAGTTAGTGCTCGAGTTACAACCACAACTGACCCCAAACTTTCCATTGTTAAGTGAGGTTTTTGCCCCATTTTATGACCTGTCTTGCCACAATTGTTCAGTGTATCACTCAGCTGTTTGTAACATGGTTGTTAGGTGACTCTGGCTTCCCCATTGACTTTGCCTGTCAGAAGATTGCAAAAGGATACTACAACCGTCGTAAATATGAACCAGTTGCCACCTGCCCAGATTTTGATCACCTGAGCATGGGGATGCTGCAAATTATAACCAGTCATAATTTACTTTTTTCCGTGCCATTGTAACTTCGGTCACTAAATGAATGGTTTAAATTGAGGACTACCTGTATGTGTTTGTGCATGCATTTGTGATTCACATAAAAGGAATGAGGCTTCATCTGAACAGTCCTGGACATCATGTTGACGTGTTTGATTTCTTCATCCTTCCTTTCCCAAGCTTTTTTATAATTTTGCATTCGATTTTATTTCAAATTCCTGCTCTACTATGGAACAGTCAGTTTTATGTATCTTACATTGTTTATCAATTTAACATTATTCTATTAACTACGCTGTAATGTGTTGCTGTTATTCTGACATTTTTATATTTTGCTTTCATACCTCAAGTAACCATGAAATCTGCTCACTTACTGAGCATATTAGAAATGTAACTCATAAGCAAGAAGATCAGTGCAAAAATCCCCAAAATGAAATCATTAAACTATGTATTAGGGATAAGACTTAGTGGACATTGCAAACATATGTCAGGGAATTGTGCAGCAGCTGTCCAGATAAAGTCGGAGACATTAACAGAAACTTGTAGTTTTTATTGTCGTCATCCAGAAAGAGAAAACACAAGATAGTCAGGAACACAAGAATACCATGAGGTAAATTAAAGAGTATACAGAACACGCAGAAGAAAAAGGCGGGAAAAAAGGGAAACTCCTCCTTTGTACTTACAGCAACCAATCATAGCGCAGATTGCCTCATGCATGAGTCAACACGCTCTAACTCAGAGGTCCCCAAACTTGACAACTTTAAAACTGGTGGATTTCAACTCCCAGAATTCTCCAGCCAGCTGGCTGGAGAATTCTGGGAGTTGAAGTCCACCAATCTTAAAGTTGCCAAGTTTGGGAACCTCTGTTCTAATTAATCAACTACAAATGTGTGTTTTGGCCCATTGTACACTTTACTGTTCCAGCTACTAAATTCAATATGCTAACAACATATATAATTTTCTGCAGAGATATAATTATAAGCAAGTTCCTTTGAATTCAAGGGAGCCTTACTTCTGCTTGTTGGGATTGGGATAAAAGAGATCTGTAACTTTTTAAATTTATTATAGATAACAGCTATTGGCAGACATCAGAACAATCTCTTCAATACATATCATTAAATATATCATCAAATAGCTGTCAGGAAAACTTCTTTGATATGTGTGCATGCGTAGCAAAAAAAATAAAAAAGGTGAAATGATCTTCTTGAAACATTGATATACCTTCCTGAAACCAAATAATATAAATGCATTAAAGGAGGGACACATAAGGTACAGGGTGAATTTCTATGTGAATGAGCTATGTCCTTTTTGATAGAGTATTGATGCAGTCATCTTTTAATCATTTTAATTTCAAAGTG